ATGAAAGTTTGCAACCTTTCAAACGGTCATGACTGTTCCTGAAAGTTGCAACCTTTCAGAACAGTCACTTCCAACGGCGGGAAATTTAAATAAAACGGGAAAGAATTTAAATAAAATGGGTCGCGCGTGGATCCGAGTCGGGTCGGTCAATTAATTGAATAATCGAAACATTTCGGTTAATTAACTAATTAATTGAAACGTTTTGGCGTTTTGGCCATTTAATTTAATTCTATTAATTAAATAATTAATTAACTAATAATTAAAACAAACTTTGTCCAAAAAATAATCTCTCGATCATTTTTCGAAGCCGAGCGAGCGACGACGACGACGGCGCAAGGGGGTCCCTCTTTCCAACCCTTTTAACAATTAATAGAAGTGTTTCTATATTTAAACTTTTCTATTTTTCTTTCCAACACCGATGAGGGAGAAATACTTTTTCACTAAAGCATAAGAGGACTTTTCAAGTTCCCAACTTTCCAAGTTCCTCTATTTTCATCTTCCCTCCATTTCCCATTAACTCTTGCTACATATCCAACAAAACCTGCCCCACCCGACCCTGTACCGCCCCATTGCCATCCCTATCTATAGATCTATAAGACAAGAAATAAAACAAAATTGCAAAACAATCAAGATTAAGGTCCAATAAGACATAAGCAGATAATTGAATCGGTGAAGAAGACATTGAATTCGATATGGTACCACTCCATACACTTTACGGTTATTCGTGTTAATCTTAGGCCATTCATCCATGATTCAAATAACAACTTATTCAATGTAATTTCACAAGTGAAGTCTGAAAAATAATGTACATTATTTCTATCTTTATTAAGAGAGATTATGATAGAAAAATAAAACAAAACCGAAATAACAAGATAAGAGATACTTATCTCCGTTCCTAAATTAGTTTTCCTCTTCTCCCTAATAAGCAAAGAGCCAAGGACATTATATTGTTGAAAGTCTTATATCGGATTAAAAAAAAAAGAGTGATTTTCTTATATGATACTCCTTGGACATTAATCCTTTCATTATAAATTAGCTTTTCGAATGAAGTTAGATTCAAAATCCCTCGTGAAACTTTTAAAAAATTAAGTTTATGAGTTGAGTTAGATTCAAAATCCCCGGTAAAACTTTAAAAATAAAAATTAAATTACGTCCAATTTAAGATTGACAAACAGTTGAGCTAAATAAATTTCTGTTAGTAAGTTTTTCATTTCTACAAATTTACAGTGAGAATTTGCATACGCATGATACGTACGTAACATCCACTAGTCCACTGACGCGTGTCCAGCCAATTTAGTACACGCCTTTGTTCTTTCACTGATGGACCGCACAACTGAGAACCAAAAGCTCCAACACTTAACCAGTCGCGTGCGACCCAAACAACGAATAGTTGTTGAGCGTGTGATACACGCGCATCAGCTAAAGCGTAAGACATCCCTTTAATGCATTGGCTAAATTCATGAAACTTGAAAAAGGAGTGGAAATAAGAACCAACCCTAAAGCTCTAAGGTATCTAAATTTGGAGTACCTAAGCAAATCCTAAAGTTAAAACACAGAATCCCTAAAGAAGATAAGAAGAAATGCCATAGATAAAAACAACCCATGTTCACTTTTTCTCTCTCTACACATTGAAATTCAACATCAACAGCAAAAAAAAAGTTGATAAGAATCCTTTTTCTCTTTCTTTCTTTGTGTGTGTGTCTAGCTAGGGTTTGCATTTCTTTCACAATTTTGGTTGTTTCAGTAGGAGAGAAAAGAGGATCTAAGAGTTAGCCAAGAGAAGAAATTAGTGAGAAAGTAAAGTAGAAAAAGATCATCAGGGGGAAGGAGGGATGGGTAGAGGAAGAGTTGAGCTGAAGAGGATAGAGAACAAGATAAATAGACAAGTCACTTTTGCAAAGAGGAGAAATGGATTGCTCAAAAAAGCTTATGAACTATCTGTGCTTTGTGATGCTGAAGTTGCTCTACTCGTTTTCTCTAATCGTGGAAAACTCTATGAATTCTGCAGCACAAACAAGTAATTTTTTAATCTCTTTCTAAGATCTGAAATTAGGTTTTTTAGCTCGATCTACATCATCTAACACTTCCTAATCAATATGTTATCAAAGATCTGTTAAATACAAAACGAAAAATCATACTCCGATCCTAAGTTACGTTGTTCATAAATAAATAAAACACGTAGATCTTGTGTTTTAGTGCCTTTTTCTAGGAGATCACGCTCTTTTTTTCTTTCTTAGTGACTCGAATTCACAATTTTAGAGTTGTCAGATCCTGAGTTTTTAAGTTAAGATAAAGTTGGAAAATCTACTTAATATTATTTTGATCGATCATTAGACAATCACTTCTTATCTTAGAAAGAAAAGGATAAATCATAAATACGTGCAGATCTGAGTAACCAGATAAAACAACGTCTCCCAGTCCTCAATTCTACGCCTTTTTTGATGATGACAAATAAGACTGATCTGATAAAGGACTCATATTTTTACCTCTGTGATCATAAACATTTATGATAAATCAGTCCACCGGGTATTACTGTGTGCTTCATAAAGTTCCTCACTTTAAAATTTATAACTAAATATAGAGTTTAAGTTATACTAATATATATCAGTTCAAATTTTAAGGAAGCTTAGGAAATATCTTTTGGGTAATCTGATGACATGCATGCTTCTTCTTTTTTTTCATCTGTGAAGCAAAGTTATCATTTGAGTTGTGACTTCTTTAACAGAAAGACTGTAAATTTAACACGGTGGGAAAATTGTCTAGAGTACTTGGATTAGTGTAGTAGTCAAAAACTCATGAAGAATTGAGTGGCCTTCAATTTAATATATACGGTTAAAGAATTAAAGTTATTTACACCGTTAGTGTAAAGAATTATCAGGTCATTCAAAAGATGTTTTCATTCTTGAATAGATGTGTAATCTTAATAAAATAAAAAAATAATTACCTAATACAACAAGTAAATGGACCTAATGAAGAAGTTGGGTACATTAGTAAGTAACATTTACTTCATATCTCTGTGCATTGAAAATAGTTTTACAAGAAGGATCATTAGGGCTCCCTCAAGTCAGCTTTGTAATCTTAGTTTTAGAAGACGATTAAAAATGCTTAATTGGTTTACAATAAGTAAAAATTAATTACACTGTTTGTACACATGCATATAAATGCTGATCCAAATAATTTCATAAAGAGGCGATGGAAAAAGTGGGATAGATCTAGAAGGAAGTATATTTTATCTTAAATCACTAGATTTTATCCTTAATTATCTCTTGAGTGCATTCTTCGAACCTGTTTAATGTTTTCATCCCGTTTATAGGTTTTGCATGGCCATACAAGACAGGCAAAATGGTTTTTAGAGAAAACGAGTAGTGATCTAGAACATTTTCTATCTGTGTTAAATAAAGATGGATCGGTTATTTATTCATTTTTATTCGCAAATATTCGATCCTTAACGCACTCATTTAAGGATTAATAACTTTTTTCCTTTTATTTGTCTTGTGCAACAGTATGCTCAAAACACTTGATAGGTATCAAAAGTGCAGCTATGGAACATTGGAAGTCAATCGGTCAATCAAAGATAATGAGGTAACAAATGCTACTAATACGTTGACGTCACCTTTTCAAAGGAAGTAAATGTATGATTTTACCATAATATAACTTACTATATGTAATTTAGTTGCTTTAATTTCTGACATGATCGAAAGCTGCTCGATCACAATTTTTTTTCTTATGGATTTTTTTTTGCGAATATATTGTTGATCCATCCCGTGAGGCATTGCAGCAAAGCAGCTATAGGGAATACTTGAAACTCAAAGCCAAATATGAGTCACTGCAGCGATATCAAAGGTAATTAACTCGCTAGTTAGTTCATTTATAGGTGTCAAATGTGACCTAAACATTAGTGACGCGTTCAATTCATCCAAAATTTTATGAGTTAGGCTCAACATGGTTCAAGAATGGGCTAAATCAATCCATTTGCTAACTTACCGCAGTTTTATGCCCAAATTAACCCAATTTTCGACTTGATTTTCTCCTTTGCTTGATGGAATAGGCGTTGGCTGCTGTTATGTAATCATCATGAAATGTCATCAGTTTATATGATACTTTAGTTTCTTTATTCTCTCTCTATTTTTTTATTTTTTTAAATCTTTAGTCTCGTGGACTAAAAAAAAGTAGACATTCATTTTTTAGTTTAATTTGACTATAAAAAAAATACATTTATCTAAACAACAGTCTAGTAACATTGTAGTAATTCAACACTTTCGATATATTTATATCTTTTGTTATGTAACTTTGTGGAGGTTTAGAGTATCACCAATTAACGGTGTCGATAGTGCTATCATTAACTTCAAAATATATAAATATGTATAACAAACTAAATAAGTTTATATAAGTGACATCTTTGGAAGTTCTAGTCACAAATATTGTATTTTCTGGCTTTTCTTTTTGTTGAGAAATTGGTTTGCCTTTATTAGTTTGGTCTATGAATTACTGGGGTATGTAAGTATTGTTCAAATTGAGTCGGGTCATGATCTAATTCATTTTTTTGCTCAGCCCATATTAGCCTAAGTAAATTTGGGCGGATCAATAATTTATTCAGGCCTTTTAAATCGGATTGGCTATTTGATACCCCTACGTTAACCATAATCATGCTACCTAAATTATTTGACATATAAGAATGTACACAAGTTGTATTCTTGATAACTTATTCTACTTTTACAGACACCTTCTTGGAGATGAGTTGGGGCCTCTGACTATAGATGATCTTGAGCATCTTGAAGTCCAACTAGATACTTCCCTCAAACACATTAGGTCCACCAGGGTAAGCTTATTCATATTAAGTTATAACAAATTTTTGGATCCTTTAATTCAAGTATACTAATTGTATCTACTGGCTCTTCTATAGACTCAAATGATGCTTGACCAGCTCTCTGATCTTCAAACTAAGGTAATTCTTATTTGATTCTAAAATGTACTTAGATCAACATGATGCATGTGTTCAATAGTTAGTAATTGAGATAACTTACTATTTAATCATAACAGGAGAAATTGTGGAATGAGGCTAACAAGGTTCTTGAAAGAAAGGTAGGTTGCCCATACATGTGATTGTTACTCATTCTCTAGCTACTAGTTGTATTGTGATTGATTTTTGTTATAAATATTGCTTTAGGTTTATTTTTCATCAATTTATATTCACCTAGCTAAGTTGGTAAATTAAAGTATTTCTTTTAAGGGATGGGATGGGTAGTCTCTTTATGTAGCGTTGGGAAATTCTTCCCTGGTGAGGTAGTTTATAAGCCGAAGATCATTTCTTATTGATGTAGCAAACTGTGCTGTAATGTCATTGAATTGCATATAATTAATTTGTTAGCAGATGGAAGAGATATATGCTGAAAACAACCTGCAACAAACATGGGGAGGTGGTGAGCAAAGTCTCAATTATGGTCAGCAGCAACATCCTCAATCTCAGGGTTTCTTCCAACCTCTAGAATGCAACTCTTCCTTGCAAATTGGGTAAATTCTACCATTTTCATTATATCTATTTTGCAACTGTACGTGGATTAATTAGTTGACAATTAAGTCCAGTACAAAGCACCTTTAATTATAGGTGATTCGAAAAAGAGAAAAGAAGCAAACAAGATATCAATGAAAATTGAAGTGCTTGGCTAAAGCTAATTTTTTATTTTAATTTTGATTTAATACAGGTACGATCCAATAACAACTTCAAGCCAAATAACAGCAGTAACAAATGCCCAAAACGTGAATGGTATGATACCTGGTTGGATGCTGTGAATCAAAAGGTCCTACGCTCCCTTATCTTCAGCTTTGCATAAAAGCATATGAAGTAGTACTATATTTCTATAATAAAGGAAAACTTCAGTACCTTTTTGTTCAGCAAAATGTTATCGATAATACTAATTAAGGTGAACCATTTTCTTTGCATAAAAACAAACCTGTTTGCGTGGAAATGTTTTATTTTATTCATATCATATTGTGGATGTTGCTGAAAGATGATCATTATTTGTATCTTTTCTGTGAATTCTGTGTGTATTCAGGTATAGAGAAGATGTCCAAACTTTTTCTGTTCGGCCCATCAAATTTTTTTAGTCTAAGGAAAACAGTTCCTTCACAATCAGCATTCCATGTTGATCGTATCCTTCCGCTCTTCAAAACACTTCATCTTCACCCAATCCTTATAACTCCCAGTCCCACCCGACAACCCTAACCCCCACATATTCCCCGTATTTGTCTAGATAATATCTACGTATTTAATTAGTTTTAGAATAATATTTTTTCCTTCTTATAATTTACTATATCGAATAGAAGAAGAATAAAAAGTTGGGAAAACCCACTTATTTTTAGAAAAAAACTATCTTTTTTAAACTAATAGTTTATGATAACTTCGAAAATTAAACGCCTGCCCTTTGTAGGTAATTACATAACAATACCTGTGACTTGTGAGCATACATTAAAACTTTTATTTGTATAAAACATTGCAACTCTACATAAAAAAGTATAGGAAAAATTACTTTGCATTGTATCTTTTAGTAGATAATTACTGATTTTAACGATATTTATTATTTATTACTTATTACCATTTATAGCAATACATAACAATACTATGATAAATATGCAATATATATTAAAAGTGAATTATGTATGCAATATATATGTATTATAACTATTTTAAAATATATTATGCTTGTTTGTTAAGAAATTGACATGTTGTATTAAAATGTGTGATAAATGTATTATTCATCAAGAAAACTTGTATTATATGTGTTTTATAAATTGTTCTATGTAATATGTATTAAACTATATTATAAATGTATTAAAAGTGATCAAGTGAAAAAAAAAATGTTATTGCTATAAATGATACTTAGTAAATATTTTCAGTTATCAAAAGCCCAAACTAGTTAGATGAAGTGAACTACAATTTGGCCCAAGACACCACATGGCTTTTAAGGAGCCCACTGGAATTTCCAGAAAGGCTTTTAGATGCATCACTTTCAAGAAATTACACCTAATAATTGTATAATTTAGTATTCTTGAGCTTTTGATCTCCGCTTGGGACAAACTTTATAGTCAAAAATCTAATTTTTTTCCCATGGAACAAAACTTGTTAAATTTGGAGTTTCCCTATCGAGCAATTCAAAAATTCAAAACCACTCACCTTCGAGGTCATTCTTGTAAATCACCCTAGCTGCTTGAAACATTAACAATGGCAAAAAGAAAGAGAAAATGTACTATTTACGATCCGTGGAGAATATTTTACTTTCTCCATTATTATATTTACTAGGAGAGATTTTGTTAGAGGAAAACATAAATTACATTGATATTTGGAGCAAAAATTTTTGGGTTACTAATTACTATATTGAATTTATTATTCCTTTGTGAATATATGTTAGTTAGCAGTAGCCATCCAAACTTTTTTTTTTTAACTATAAAAGTAATAAAACCCACTCAATTTCATTGAAGAATCTAATGTGTGGTTTCTATTCAAAAATTAAATAAAAATATAAATAAGGAATTGTTCTATAACATAATATTACTTGTAATTTCATAGAGTAGAGTAGCTTTAGGTATCTAGGCAGTAACGCAACCTTCTCGTAAAGAAAGTAATAAATTTAACTAAATACCCCCTATTATTCTTACTTGCTTTATTTATTATTTATTAAATTGTTCTTTTGGGCTTTTATCGTCATCACTTGCGAACAAAGGTGCTCCATCTGCAAAGGATACACCCTTTACGGGGCAAACTGTCCCACGGAAAATATTCCTAAATTATTTGATTGAATCGGTGAGAAAAGAAAAAATATAATAGTGTTTTCATATGAAAAAATTAAAAAGTTTTTCAATATTTCAGTGATAATTTGTTCTTCACAATGTGTTTCCCATTAAATTGATTCGGTGAAAAATGAATGAGAAAAAAAAAATGTTTTTTTAACAAAAAATTTCATTGATTTGCAATCGAAAAAACTTTTATTTCTAAATGTATTCTGGAAAAGAGTAGAAGAATAAAAAAGAGACCTATAATGCATTACAAATATATATATAACGTTTACACTTTAATCGTGTTATTGATACACAAAAGAAAAACAAAAAATTCTCCCCTAATCACATCCAATTGAACCCTAGACAATCCTGGTCAGTTTTGAGTTGTCGAGTGACGATTGTTTCATCTCTTAAGAAAGAATGTGCGCACCTATATTATAATATAATAATAAAAGAATATTCTCTTCTTTGATGTGCGCTATATTATTGTATTTTATTCCTTAAAGAGTGATCTGAAATTAAGCCACGTAGTACCAGAAAAAGTAAGTAATTGCAATAATTTGAAGTTTGTCAAAAATAACAAAAAAAATAATTAAATTTAAAAGATTGAATATATTTTAAATATTGGTGCTGCAAGAGGCTGTGTGGTATAATATATGGGGATACTATAAATTAAGCAAAGTGAAGTTATTTTTCTCCTTTTGTAGTACACAATAATATTCTATTTCCAATTAATTTAATTCTGATTGCCCTGGCAAGGGATCTGGGCTTCATTTTTTCTTTTAAATTTTTTAATTTCAGCCGCCATGGCCACTCACAATTTTTTTTAATTAGAGAATCAGAAGATAGTTGTTAGGAATATATGTTTTTTTAACGAAAAAAATATTTTTATTTTATGTTGATAACAAAAGTAGTTATTGTGGCGTGCTGCTAGAGCATCATCTAGGTGTAGCTTCATATGATTAAGATATTTATATTTTAAAAAATAATAATTCTTTTTAATTTATTTAATTTAACGAATATTATGGTCTTCCATTTGGCAAACCTTGATCCTTGTCACCCTTTTATATAGCAAGAATGCCATGATTAATTAAAATGAAAAAGAAAGAGAATTTCATATGGATTATTCATTCATCTTTTCTTTAAACTTATTTTAATTAAGTTTTGGAAAAATGATGATATCTCAAAAGGTAGATTTATTCCTATGATATTTGCTATTATGAATGTGTCCAGATTCATCCTCCAAAAAATTTTAGTGACGTAGTAATCTCTTGTACAACAATAGTTGTCTACTATTGATTTGACATAGGATTAAAAAGCAGTAAATGTTGGGGTAATCTTACCAAATCACCTTTATTAAATATAAGTCATCTAAACATTGAAAAATGAATATTACTCCCTTCATTTCAAAATAGTTGAATTGTGCATTGTAACAAACTATCAATTCAAAATAAATGTTATAGCTACAGTTTCATTTAATTTTAATTTGCAACAAACTTCTTGCCATTCGCCTCTCTCCCCTCTCTGGAATCTCGCTCGCCACTCTCCTCTTTTTCAGCCCTCTCTCGCTCGCCTCTCTTACTTTATACAAACACAAATGTATAATTTGTGTTTTGTGTTTGTATAAAGCGAGAGAGATTGTATATACAAAAAATACATATTTCTCCGTCATATCCACTTATAATTATAAAAATATAAATCTTCCCCTTCCCAGTTCTCTTTTGCCTTTCTCTCTCCCTCACTTTATACAAACACAAATTATACAAAATACAATGTATAATTTGTGTTTGTATAAAGCGAGAGAGAGAGGGAGAGATTTGATATACAAATACAAATGTTTTAACTCGATTCAATTGTATAAGAATTCAAATTTTATGCAGATATACAAACACAATCATTGATACATATACATAGTAGTTACATATATACAATTATCTAATAGATATACACATACAATTCACCTCTCTTCACTCTCTGCCCTCTCTCGCTCGCTACTCTAGCTTAACACAGAGAACATATACATGTACAAACACAATTTTAATACAAATCATCGCGATTTATACAAATCAGATGCTCCATAGCAAACGTAATTTGGCTATGGAAGGCAAATAACAAAACTGAGCTATAGAGTGCTCATACGATTTTTATGTTTGCTATTCCTAAAATTTACTCTTAGAATATTCTTTCATTTTTACCGTTCATTTGGATTTTCTATATGATGAGTTCAAGAAACTTAAATTACTTTAAATTAATTTCTTGAAAAATTCTTATATTAATGTGGTTGAGATTTTCATAAAAAGAACTCTTCACTATATTGATAAATTAACACTCCAATCTTTGGTGAATTGGTGTAAACTCTACTTGTCATGTGTACCAAATTTAAAAGTGAATCAGTAGATTTTATGAATTTGAATTTTGAAGATCCCATTGAAATAGTTCACGATAATATTATGGATGAAGACTAAATTAATATAATTCAATAGATATTTTTTTAGTCATTTTTGTTAAGGTTTTACCTCCAAAAATTGACTCTGTAAATTTTTGTTTTAACAAAAATAAATTTAGTCATTTTAAGAGTCACATATTGAATTTTGAAATGGAAGGAGTAGTATTTAATATCAATGGTAAAATAGACACAAAATGATAAATTATTCATTGGTTTTATAAACTAAACAAATATTGCTAGACATCTCAAAATAATATAATGCACAAGTAAAATTGAATAGAGAAATATTTATATATATTTATAATGAATGTGAAAAGTACTTTGAGAGAATGCAAAAGGAATTTCCAAACATGGTATCTATATATTCATTTTATTTTGGTACAGTTAATAAGAAAAGACACGAAAAGGGAAAAAACAAACACTGTCTTTAATTTTTTAAAAACAAGAAGCCATTTATGGGAACAAAATTGAATGGGAAATAGAAAAATTTACATGGAGGAAGTAATTTTTACCATTATGGATATTATGTACTCTTCATTTTTTTTACTTGTTTTTTTCAATAAAGAGGTTGGTAGAGGCCATAATAAAAGTGAGTGGTTGCCATAATTAGAAGGGCTATGAGATAGTATTTGGGAATTTGGGTTATTTGCCAAAAATATTTGTCAAATAATGGCAAATTGTATGGACAAATACTATTTACCAAATTTTCCCTCAAATTTTACTTGGAAAATCTATGGCCAAACGGGTCCTAATAGTAGTGACTAGTGAGGGTATGTAGTACTTCATTATCAAT